GGTGGCGGGCCAGGTGGAGCAGGGACGAGGGTGGCGGGCCAGGTGGAGCAGGGACGAGGGTGGCGGGCCAGGTGGAGCAGGGACGAGGGTGGCGGGCCAGGTGGAGCAGGGACGAGGGTGGCGGGCCAGGTGGAGCGGGGACGAGGGTGGCGGGCCAGGTGGAGCAGGGACGAGGGTGGCGGGCCAGGCGGAGCGGGGACGAGGGTGGCGGGCCAGGTGGAGCAGGGACGAGGGTGGCGGGCCAGGTGGAGCAGGGACGAGGGTGGCGGGCCAGGTGGAGCAGGGACGAGGGTGGCGGGCCAGGTGGAGCAGGGACGAGGGTGGCGGGCCAGGTGGAGCAGGGACGATAGCAGGGGTAAGGAGGATAACAGTACAGAGATGGATGGCCAGGAGGAAGACATAGAAGACATAAGGAAGCAGCAGGGAGAGGTTCAGATGGGAATGGCTCTGGTGGGTCCCACCAGGAGTACAACTGTCAACAGTTAACACACTGGAAAACATTAACCGGACCAAGTTATTGGTCTTGCCCCAAATCCTCACCCCTTCCTTGTGCTATATAGTCGTAATGGTTTGGCACTATCCTGATAGTTCCCTTCCCCCGGAGCCCCGGAAAACAACAAGGGAGCCGAGCGGACAGCACGGTGGACTTGTGGTCCCGGGTTCGATCCCGGACGCCGGCGAGAAACACTGGGCAGAGTTTCTTTCACCCTATGCCCCTGTTACCTAGCAGTAAAATAGGTACCTGGGTGTTAATCAGCTGTCACGGGCTGCTTCCTGGGGGTGGAGGCCTGGTCGAGGACCGGGCCGCGGGGACACTAAAGCCCCGAAATCATCTCAAGATTACCTCAAGATAACACGGTGTTTGCATCTTTCGGTAAAGTTTATCACCACTAAATACAATAATTCACATACAAAATAACATCGCAACATCTAAGGAAAAAATGTAATCAGCAATAGGCTACATCGGTGTGCAAATTAATTATTACCACACTGCAGTGGTTCTAAGTTAAATAAAATTGGATACAAATCAATAACGATCATCAATATTGCCTAACCTAGTCTGATTAATATATTGTTGCATCATTCCAGAGGTGCACTACATCTCAGCTAGCAACAAACATACAATTAGCTTAGCTAACACGAGAGATGTCTTTGCCAGTACAACAAATAACTTAGCAAGAGATCTTAACTAGCACAACAAACTTCTAAGCTTGGAGTATATAGAGAGCAACATCACTCCTCCTTCCCACCGGCTCTGAGCCGTGTTGTGATAAGTTACTGGCTGGGACCCTGATGTTAGGATTAAAAGCGACGCACTACTGGTTTAGGTTTCTCCTTTACTGCGCCACGCCAAGGTTAAACAAGTTCACTGTACTACACTGATAAGCTGGCTGGGTAACTTTGGTGGTAGGATACTGACGAGATGCTGGAGTGCGCTGTTGTGGGGGGCGAGCACTTACCAGTTTACCTCGGACGTGAAGGAATACTGTAGTAGTTTAGAGAGTGGTTGTGGGGGTTCTAATGTAAATGCAGGTTCCCGTGACAGCTGGGGTTGAGGAGTAATGCCGCAGCAGTAGCCGGGGTTCAGCATGGCGGCAATGACGCAGGAAGTCGATTTATGGAATTGTGCTGAAGGTGTTACGAGAGGTTTGATGGACACTCGGTATACCTGAAGAGGGTTTCACGAGTTGTTCTACTCCCCGAGCCCGGCCTGGCTGGACTCAGGAATCGAGGGGATCTCAAAATATTAACGTCCAATGACAACACTAAATCGAAGCTTCCTGAATAACTACACTTGAAAAATTGTAAATACTGTCAGAGGAAGATGACCGAGAAAGGACAGAATAAACAAGACCATTGGCCTCCGCATATTAAACACATCAAATGCTCACTGGTTTTAGACAAACCTAATGTCTTCGCATATGTCACATGTCAACTATATAATTTTCCATATCGAAATTAAGACAAGTTTGTGAATTTTTCATATTAACCAAATCTCCAAAATAGAAATAACTACTAAATGCTAACTAAGGCGCGTTTGGCATCTTGTTCAAAAGTTTTGAAGCTGTATTAACAGAACAAGACTTCAACTAGAAGAATTATGAAGCAGAAATCACAATGTATTCCTAGGGTTAATTGTAGCACTCCAATATTACCATTAAGGTGCACTAATATTATATTATATATATATATATATATATATATATATATATATATATATATATATATATATATATATATATATATATATATATATAAAATTTATGAATACACTTCCACGTGATTGAAAACTGAAGCCAGAATAGCACTTGGCCTCAAGAGAGAAAAGCTCCTCGTTCCTATCGGATTTCTTGACACATAACATGACACACACACGCCAATGTTGTGAGAAGCGGGAGGTGTGCCCAACCTGTTATGAGCGTAGACTAGGCTAGCAAGAGCTTTGTGCAGGGAGCGGCTTTGAGGCGCACACAATCCTCCCATCACAAAGGATCCCTAGTTAGCTACCACAACTTCATTGGCTGTGAGTCAGCCGCCTTACAAGCCAATATGATCTCAGTTTATAGGCTAAAAACATTCTAAAGTGTTCGACAAATTAGCGGGAAAATTTAATTAATTTTAGCAGCCGAGAGCCATTCGTCTATAAATTTGGTTGTAGCCTATTTAAATACTTTATGCGTGGTAGATATTTGTGAAAGGTTAGGCGACTTTTCTCATAAGTTTGTAAGTAATTATGATAAGGGGCTAATACAGTGTAGTTTTCAATGAGGCGGCCCAGGGGCTACACACATCACGGCTGTATGGGGTAACGTGTATTGCATATGAAATTACTGAATAGACTTTTAAGAATAAATCTGGTTAGTTTTGAACATCCGTGACAATAATAAACTATTTATGAGGGTAAAAAGATCATGTGTGTACATTGACCAGTGCGCTTTACACAGTGTTATATATATATATATATATATATATATATATATATATATATATATATATATATATATATATATATATATATATATATATATATATATATATATATATATATATTTTATATATATACATACTTACAGGTATGTAAAACTCGAGGTTGCAAGACATAACTAAACATTATAAGCTTTGCAAGTAATTCCTCGCCTTGAGCATCATCTTATCCTGAAATTATTCCCGGCTGAGGCATCAAACGAAGGAATATATACACCACACAAGTCGTCTTAAGTCAGGTGTTGTATAATACTGTACACACGCGCAAACACCAGTCGGAATGAAAGTGGATGAAATGGTGTTCATCATGGGCTCATATACATGAATTGTGGCTGGCGAGTTCTACATTGCCTTGGTCCTAGGCTATACATCTTAAAAAGGGAGCTATAGAAGCTAGTGTATTATTATACAACGCTGCTTCAGGATTAAGACGAGCGTGTTGTTAAAGGAATATACAGCACTGATATACTGGACGTATTTTTGATTATACAGAGTTAGGAAAGGGCAATGACATTTTTTTGGCTTGCAAATAATGCTTAATTTAGTCATTGACATTGTAGCGAGTGAGTGTGGAGCAGTGAGGGGCGAGTGAGTGTAGCAGTGAGGGGCGAGTGAGAGTGTAGCAGTGAGGGGCGAGTGAGAGTGTAGCAGTGAGGGGTGAAAGAGTGGAGCAGGTGCCGAGGGTGGTAAGGTTGGGAAGAGGCAGGATTGGACACAATTTACAGGACTTGTATAATACATCAGCCGGCTTGTGCAGTATTTACCAGGGAGGCTAAAAGTGTAAACAAGAGAATAATTTGGATGTACAGAAACATGGCATAGATATTTGAGGAGATATTCTCCATTATAGTCCAAAACACAAAAAACATCATGCAAAACAGCCATGAAGCACAGACGAGGTACTTCTCTACTGTTCTAAGCTACACACACACACACATTCCAAAACTACACACATGTAATAATGCATTCAGCTGTAAGCGATCTAAAAACACTCGTTTGTTTAAATCACATGAGTTAACTTGGACACCATTAACGACAGAACCATTGTTTATAACAGGGGGGAGGGGGGCACTGCCACCATTGTCTTAGGGAGGAACTAATGAGGCCTTAAGTTACAATATGATAGGCCTTGACACCACTAACTTTTCTCATCAGATCTGTAACAGATATTGACAACTGCAAAATGAAAGTCTGTTTTTTTTCATCTAATAGTGTAGTGACACTGCTACTTAGGCCTATGTGATTTCAAATGACACCAAAGTGTCGCACTTGCCACAATTATTTCACTTTTTTTCGCCTTAACCTCGAGTAAATACACATTTTCTTCACATATGGCGGCCGTGAGCCACTAGGAGGATGCACCGCGCCCGCCACTACAACATACTCAGACAAACATCAATCCATTTGGGGAGAGAGACAGACACACGCCCCATTTCCATGGGTAAAATGGGCGTGGGTGGGGGCGTGGGGGGCGTGTGTGTGGTGGGGGGTGTCGGCCCCCACAACCACCGCCTCGGGCTCTAATCTACAACCCATTGCCAAGCTTACGGCCCCGCGCGGGGGGCTTCAGCCCCGCCTCTGCCAACATATGTGCTCCTCACACATATATATACATATATATATATATATATACACCCGCTTGAGGAGTGGGAGTGGAAGGTGGGGCGGGAGCGCGGGTTACTGTAGAGGTGTCGGAGTAGCGCCCCTCACACACACATATACTCAACTACGGACTCCTTCATGGTTCACCATCATACTCCTACGGGTATACTTTTTTAGGGGGGGAGGGAGAGGGGGGGGGGAGTCGTTGATCAAAAATGGCGAGTTTTTTTTGTGTTATAATGTTGGCGGTGTCGGTGAGGCGCGGCCGGCGAGGCCACCATTGCGGCGAGGCGCTCCAGCCTCCTCCTCCGCCGCTGCACAATGAATCACCCACTAGCTCACACCATTGACTTAAGAGACACTTGACCTTGCTTCCTGAGGCCTACACTTGCGACCCAGCTTCGTCTACACACCTCTAGAGCAAGGCAATCGCGGAGAGAAGCGCCAGCGTGGAGCAGCTTGCTGAGCGTCCCAGCGCAGACTGAGGCGAGGGCCACTTGGCGACCCCGCCGCCGCCGCCATGTGGCCGGTTGCCGGCGCTCGCCACCCAACACCCACCCAAACTACCCAATACCGCACATATAACCCATTACCACCCACTCTCACTCATTTACCGCACCTAATTCATCAATCTGAGACGCATCATAAGGACAATGGAAGGCCCAGAGGCTGCGGTGCCACGTGCAAAATCCCGCCCGAGGATATCGTGGACTGTTACCTCATGGCGCCACTCTTGGCCGTTCTTTATTTTAGCGACCAGTGCTTTCAAGGTGACTCATAGGACAGAATAGTGCGCGTGCAAGCAAGATTGATTTGCCTTCGTCACTGCAGACACGAAAAAAGACCGCATGCATGGGGGCCCGACAAATTAACTAGTGATTTACCCTCTTAGAAAGGTAGAGGGGCGCCCCGAGAGAGAGAGAGAGAGAGAAAGCCAGTCCGTCACAAAGCGTTATCAGTGGAGATTGTGGGGGTAGAGGAGTGGGGGGGGGGAGGTGATAGTCTATCACTCTCCACTTTGCCTTGCAACTCGGCCACTCCCTCCCCCATCAACCCCCATACTTTTATCATCTGGCGTGTACACAGTTCATAACATTCCCTGCCAGAGAGGTTAATCCCAGCGTCTGTGTCGAAGGGGTTGCAGCCTCCTCTTCCTGCTCCCTGTTGCAACGTTTAATTACTCTCTACATGTCGTTTATCGAGACGTTTGGAGGCACATGTAACGTTTTGCAACAATCGGCCATGCAAGGAGTAGTCGGGGAGAGTGGTGTATAGGGCGGCGTTAAATGTTCCCACCCCCGCTGTGGGCCGGTCCCTGGTCCGAGGCGCGGCCATATGGTGTCCTCGGTAGTGTTGCACACATGGATTTACTCAATATATTTCAATGGTGTTATCAACACATGACTGTCATTGTGCAGCGTGTCAACTGTAGCGTCTCTACATGCTCTTGTTCTCAAGTTCTCTCTACATGTTATTCTACATATGAGTGCATTATATATACTACGTATATATTATCATGAACTATATACTACATATATTTCTTTCCCCCACATACATTCCCTGGATCAACTTCACAACAGCTAACCAACTTCCACGTACATTTTTACTGCTAGGTGAACAGAGGTAGCGGGTGAAAGAAACTCTGCCCATTTGTTTCTGCCTCGATCGGGAATCGAACCCGGGCCCTTAGGACTACGACCCCTGAGCGCTGTCCACTCAGCCACGAGGTCCCTGTATGTGTGTGTGTTTGTGTGTGTGTGTGCGTACTCACCTAGTTGTGCTCACCTAGTTGTGTTTCGGCTCTTTGGTCCTGTCAATCAACTGGTGTACAGATTCCTGAGCCTACTGGGCTCTATCATATCTTCATTTGAAACTGTGTATGGAGTCAGCCTCCACCACATCACTGCCTAATGCATTCCATCTGTTAACTACTCCCACACTGAAAAAGTTCCTTCTAACGTCCCTGTGGCTCATGTGGGTACTTAATCTCCACCTGTGTCCCCTTGTTCGCGTACCACCCGTGTTAAAAAGTTCCTTATCTATCCTGTCAATTCCTCTGAGAATTTTGTAGGTAGTGATCATATCTCCCCTTACTCTTCTGTCTTCCAGTGTCGTGAGGCTGTGTGTGTCTGTATCCAATTATTCCAACCCATTTTAAAAATAAATGAGCGCTGAGCTTGCATGTGTCACAATAATACTCCTGAAGCCTAACAGGGAGCCCACAGCCTAGTTCCCCCCCCCCCACACACAGCTGTGCTTGCTGTGCACGCCTCTGTTATATATATTCCGTGCACAGTGCTGTGGGTGTGCACATTTATATGATGTTGTGGTATAATTAGTTTATATCTCCAAACTTTCTCCTCATATCGGATGTTCTGCTAATTTAATTCTCACCGTTGTAATGGTAAGCTCTATTAAGGCCTATCAACCTCTGGAGGGTTATTAAGGCCTATCAACCTCTGGAGGGTTATTAAGGCCTATCAACCTCTGGAGGGTTATTAAGGCCTATCAACCTCTGGAGGGTTATTAAGGTCTATCAACCTCTGGAGGGTTATTAAGGCCTATCAACCTCTGGAGGGTTATTAAGGCCTATCAACCTCTGGAGGGTTATTAAGGCCTATCAACCACTGGAGGGTTATTAAGGCCTATCAACCTCTGGAGGGTTATTAAGGCCTATCAACCTCTGGAGGGGTATTAAGGCCTATCAACCTCTGGAGGGTTATCAAGACCTATCAGCCTCTGGAGGGTTATTAAGACCTATCAGCCTCTTGAGGGTTATTAAGACCTATCAACCTCTGAAGGGTTATTAAGACCTATCAACCTCTAGAGGGTTATTAGGACCTATCAACCTCTGGAGGGTTATTAAGGCCTATCAACCTCTGGAGGGTTATTAAGACCTATCAACCCCTGGAGGGTTATTAAGGCCTATCAACCTCTGGAGGGTTATTAAGACCTATCAATCTCTGGTGGGTTATTAAGACCTATCAACCTCTGGAGGGTTATTAAGACCTATCAACCTCTGGAGGGTTATTAAGACCTATCAACCTCTGGAGGGTTATTAAGGCCTATCAACCTCTGGAGGGTTATTAAGACCTATCAACCTCTGGAGGGTTATTAAGGCCTATCAACCTCTGGAGGGTTATTAAGACCTATCAACCTCTGGAGGGTTATTAAGGCCTATCAACCTCTGGAGGGTTATTAAGACCTAACAACCTCTGGAGGGTTATTAAGACCTATCAACCTCTGGAGGGTTATTAAGGCCTATCAACCTCTGGAGGGTTATTAAGACCTATCAACCTCTGGAGGGTTATTAAGGCCTATCAACCTCTGGAGGGTTATTAAGACCTAACAACCTCTGGAGGGTTATTAAGACCTAACAACCTCTGGAGGGTAATTAAGGCCTATCAACCTCTGGAGGGTTATTAAGACCTATCAACCTCTGGAGGGTTATCAAGACCTATCAGCCTCTGGAGGGTTATTAAGACCTATCAGCCTCTAGAGGGTTATTAAGACCTATCAACCTCTGGATTGTTATTAAGGCCTATCAACCTCTGGAGGGTTATTAAGACCTATCAACCTCTGGAGGGTTATTAAGACCTATCAACCTCTGGAGGGTTATTAAGACCTATCAACCTCTGGAGGGTTATTAAGACCTATCAACCTCTGGAGGGTTATTAAGGCCTATCAACCTCTGGAGGGTTATTAAGGCCTATCAACCTCTGGAGGGTTATTAAGGCCTATCAACCTCTGGAGGGTTATTAAGACCTATCAACCTCTGGAGGGTTATTAAGGCCTATCAACCTCTGGAGGGTTATTAAGACATATCAACCTCTGGAGGGTTATTAAGGCCTATCAACCTCTGGAGGGTTATTAAGACCTAACAACCTCTGGAGGGTTATTAAGGCCTATCAACCTCTGGAGGGTTATTAAGACCTATCAACCTCTGGAGGGTTATTAAGGCCTATCAACCTCTGGAGGGTTATTAAGGCCTATCAACCTCTGGAGGGTTATTAAGGCCTATCAGCCTCTAGAGGGTTATTAAGACCTAACAACCTCTGGAGGGTTATTAAGACCTATCAACCTCTGGAGGGTTATTAAGGCCACCACAATACCTTACTGACCAACCAGCAGATATACTCAACTCATAAACACAGTCCAGAACTAAGCTATACTCTCACTGTGTATGCTGAGATAAACGGTGTATGCGTCTAGGTGTGTATACATACTCCTGTATGTGTTCTCTATGTATGTTCTGCCCCATGAACGAACCACACATATGATTTCTTCGATAATTCTACAAGTTTGAAGTTCTACAATACTATGAAAAGAAAATGAAACAAGAATTTTTGTAGCTCTTTCGTGTTCATTCTTTCGTGTTCCGTCTTTCGTGTTCCGTCTTTCGTGTTCCGTCTTTCGTGTTCCGTCTTTCGTGTTCCGTCTTTCGTGTTCCGTCTTTCGTTTTCCGTCTTTCGTGTTCCGTCTTTCGTGTTCCGTCTTTCGTGTTCCGTCTTTCGTGTTCCGTCTTTCGTTTTCCGTCTTTCGTGTTCATTCTTTCGTGTTCCGTCTTTCGTGTTCCGTCTTTCGTGTTCCGTCTTTCGTGTTCATTCTTTCGTGTTCATCGACACGAAGATCTGAACAACAGAGAACTAAGAACGGGAATAAATAGGGAGGAGAAGGAACGTCACATCACACAAGGCGGGACCAAAGAGCCGAAGCTTAACCCCCCGTAAGCACAACTAGGTGAGCACATGGGAGGTGGGGAACAACGTCTATATATAGGTCTTTGTGGAACAAACGAGTTGTTGTTATAGATTCAGCTACTCGGAACAAATTATAAGTAGCACGGGCTATGGTGAGCCCGTACAGACGAAGGAACACACGAGGAAACTGCAGAAGGTCTATTGATCAATATCAGTTTCCACAAGTAATGTCCCAATGCAAACAGTGGTCTATGGTAGTTTATTTACTGGTGGCCAATACCCTTTAGATCCCTTAAAAATGGTTCTAAAGGGTATTAACCATTACTGATATTCGTGTTGTACGATTTTGTGATTTGTATTAAAGTAGATTAATTTATATTTATATTTAAAAATTATTATAATTTGTTATTCAAGAAACCTTTCCCAATCAATTTTTTTTGACAAGGGAATATATAGAATGTTGGATGTGTGTGGCACTTCTCACACATTATTAATGTTGAGAACTTCGAAATTTCAAATCTTTGGATGTTTGACCTATATAGAATCTTTACGGCGTATTTTGTAAATGACAAAGTTATCACCAGGGGACTTATTTTTAACTAATAATTACCCAATTTAATTTTCGTAATTAAACATCACATTTAAATCAAATACCTTCAAGGCATTGACAATATTTTCAAACCCAGAACAATAAATGTAAGACAATATTGAGGTGAATTTTGCTCAGTCTGATTTTATTATAATATTTATGTTTTACTTTGCTACGTCAAGCTTTAAATAAACAGCTTACTTGGTAATAAAGTTTGATTCCAATAGAATCAATATTT